GAGCTGTGTCTGCACAGGTCTTTAGTGTTGTTCTGATGCATTCAGTAGAGACGTATACTGTATCTTCGTCTTCCTCCATTTAAGCCATGTGAATATCGTGTATTCTCTATTTAATCGGATCCCTCTCGTCCCTTCTGTCTTTTCCGTCTGCACACAAAATATGTACAGGATAGCCTGGTCGTTGTCTTCATCCGACTGTAACACCTCCCAGGTGTCCATCTTTAGTTCAGGCATACCAGAGTGAGGGAGTGTTGTGTGCATATGGGTGTTGTTACTGTGAGTGTTTTGAGTGTGCGAGTGTTGTGTATGTGTGAATGTTATTTCTATGTATATGTGTTGTGTCTATTTGTGCTATGTCTCTGAATGTTGTGTTGAGACTGTATTGTGTCTAGTGGTTATGTCTACGTGTATGTGAGAGAACCTATGCCTGTGAATACTGTATCGGTGTATCTTGTGTTCGTGTGTACATGTTGCGTCTATATGTGTTTTGTGTATGTGTTGTGTCTGTGCGTATGCCTGCTTATGTTGTGTGTATGTCGTCGGATGAACTGTGTTACAAAACAAAGTTGTCAAACCTCGAAAGACTAATTTAGCCGGGCAGGAGGGGTGATGGCAAAGGTTCTGAAAGATATTTAGCACTGAGGGGAAATAAAGACGGACTTGCAGTTATGTTGCAGCTCGCACTATTAGCACGATGACTCCTTGTTGGCCACTGAGAGAGGAGACCGAGTACGCGTCAGACTGTCCCGAGTGCAGTGATGTCATTTCCTGATTCAGTCATCTTTCCTGGCAAATCCACGGGGCTGGCTGTTCGTAATAAATTCTCAGCCGCCTTAAGTACAGTACAGTAATTCATATATTCAGTTGCTCGTTCAAGTTCACATTTTCTACACTCCAGCAACTAGTGCTCTATTCTGTTCTTCTGGCATAATTTACAGTTTACGGCTTCCTTTGACAGGATATAAAATTGTATTATTAAAATTAAAAATATTCGACTTATTCGTCCTAACTACATATCCTCCAAAATTTGTTTAAATTAGTTTGTTCCCTATCCCTAGTTTGTAAACTATAATTTTTAATCAAATGTAAATACCAGGGGACCTCACTCTCTTTCACAGTTATCATCTGGTGGCAGTCGTGGATTTTTTGGCAGCAGAAACAATGTTGACTCCAAGATTTTCCTTATCTCAGGATGCGGACTTTGTTTATATTCACATAACAGCACCTTACATAAAGGTGTCAGAGTCGGAATGTTATATACAGGACGACGAGTTTTATTTTTACTCACAGCCTTATTATTTGCGACTGCATCTACCCGGGCAGATTGTCGAGAACGAACTGTCAACATCGAAGTATGATGTCGACACGGGGCAGCTTACAGTCCGCGTCGCTAAAGAAACTAAAGGGGAAACATTTGAAGGGCTCGACATGTTGACTAAGTTGTTAACGCCAAAAGCACATGCGTGCCGAAATAGAGAAATTGAAGTTTTGGGTAATTCAGATGAACAGCCGTGTGACAGTAAAAGTAAAATAGTTGAGGCACATGGCGAAGTTTCAGATGATGAAGAAGCAGCAGATGATGATGATGAATTCGACTGGTTTCTTGAACAGAAAATTAATGAGTCACCATGTCATGTACTCACCAAAGGGCCACGTTATGGATTTGCACACAGAAAATCAAATGTTCTACAGGATTTAATAACCGGTTTACCCGAGCTGTTGGATTTGAAAGATCCTGACCATGTTCCTTCAAATGAAAGACGAGCACTTCGAGAGCTGCAGGAGAATGAACAGTTTAACTGTGAGCATTACTTGGCTGATCTGTTCGATGATGAAGCCATCAGAGGCCTGGTATTGCCAGATTATCCTGAACTTACAGGCACAGCAGGTGAAGAAACTGTTTTTAATGAGGCAGAAAAAGAAAAACTCCGGCAACTTCCTCGGAGGGAATATATCATCAGTGATTCAGAGCTGAAAACTACATATTTGGGACTTGTCGACCTAGTTTTTGCATATGCTTACAATTTCCGCTTCACACAAGGGGAAGGTAATGTAGAATCCGACTGGACAATTTGCAAACTCAGTTCTACATTATCGTGGCTAGACTCTTTTGATAACATCCAAGATGTTGTCGTCAGCTGTGCTCGGCGCTCTTTATGTTTCCCACTTTACAGGAGCTGGGATTTGTTCACCCGGGTGTTAAATGATGTGAAAACCATTTTTATGATGGGAAGATCTCAGGTTTTGAAATGTTTGTTAGGAATTCACACAATTTTAAAGGAAAGTGAAACTCGGTATCCACTAAATGATTTATACATCATTGACTATTGTGTATGGTTGCAGAGTGCAGATTCAAAGAGGATAGCATCTCTTGGCAAAGCTTTGGAAGAAGTGAAGCTATTGAAAGCAGATTTGGGTTTGAGACTGGAGGAGATGGAAGCTGATGCAAGAAAGCTGACAGATGAATGTCAGGTTAATACAAGTTGTCATAGTTCTGAGGGGAAGCAGGGAGACATTGAAAGGCTTGCAGAAGCTTTATCTGACATTGTTAATATCAAAGATTCTGTTGTTGATAGTGATGATGATGAGTGTGACAGTAGTGATGAGGATTCTGAAAGTGATGAGGAGAGTACTGATAGTGATGAGACTGACGATGAAACCGGTAGTGATGATTGCAAGACTTGTGATGATAGTCATTGTAAAGAAGAAGGGAAGGTAAAACAAGTATCAGTGTGAAGATTCATGGCTAGATTCTTTTGAAATCATCCAGGTTGTTCTTAGCTATGCTCTGTTTTCTTCATGTTTCCCACTTCATGGCACATTGCATAAGAGTTAGAATGCTACACTTGAGATAAGCATTATTTTTTCACACAACTATTTACTAGGGCAGACTGTTGACCATGAACCGTCAGTTTGACATAGGACAATATCAGTCCGCGTGGCTAATGAAACGACAGAAGAAACATTTGAAAGCCTCGACATGTTGACCAAGATGTAAAAAAAATAAAACAAAATGTTGCAGTGGAGAAATTGAAGTTGTGAGTAGTTCAAATGAACAGCCTTGTGATAGTAAAATAAATGATGATCCACATAAGCCACATGATGAAGTTAAAACTGAGGATGGAGCAGATGATGTCGATTCAGAATTTGACTGGTTATTTTTTAAACAGAAAGTTAATCAATCACCCTGTCATGTACCCACTGTTGGCCAAGTTGTGGAGTGAATTTTCATACAGAAAATCATACTTCCTGCAGGAATTAATAACAGGGTTTCCCAGATTTGTTAGGTTTGAAAGCTGCCAGTCACGTACCTTAACATGACAGGTGAGCAGCGTGAAAAAGAAGAGTTTGTGAGCTTATTTAGCTGGTCTTTATGGTGATGAAATTATAAAAGGCCTGGTATTACCAGATTCTCTTGAAGTTACCAAACACAACACAAGTAACTGATTTTAACAAGGCAGAGCTGCATATTTGGGACTTCCTGACAGTTTTTGCTTATGCTTAGAATTTTTACCTCATACAAGGAGATGTTAATGTAGAATTAAACTGGACAATTTGCAAACTTAATGGTACATTATCATGGCTAGATTCTTATGAAAACATTCACGATGTTGTCAGCTCTGCTCATGTTTTTTTTTAAATTGCTCCCACATTATGGCACCTTACATAAACAAATGTGTCACAATAGAGAAATTGCAGAAAATCTGCAGCTTTTACGCAGGGAGTATGTCGTCAGTGATTGATAATTGATATCTGCATATTTAAGACTTGTTGATTTAGTTATGTTTGCTCAGAATTATTGTTTCAGACTAGGGGTGGTTAATGTAGAATAAAACTGAACAATTTGGCAAATTTAGTTCTACATTATCGTGGCTAGATTCTTTTAAAAACTTGTCAGCTGTGCTTTGCATTGTTTATGTTTCACACATTATGGCACCTTACGTAAAGGTATCATCGTAGTCAGATTGTTACATCCAAGATGATGAGTTTCATTTGACTATTTATGACTGCATCTGCCTGGGCATATTGTCGAGAACGAACTGTCAGGATTAAAGTATGATTTCAACACTGGACAGCTTACAGTCACTGTAGCTGAAGAAATTAAAGGAGAAACAATTGAAAGGCTCAACATGTTGACCAAGTTATTTTTCACAAAAATACAGGCACAGGGCTTATGCAAATCTGGGTACAAAGTCACATAAGTAGTTTTATCTTGTCATGCAGTACACAGTGTTGGACGGAATCAAAGACGATGAGAGGTTGTTTAAAAAGTATGATTGTTAGCCATTCTGTAAATTTATTATATATGCCTTTAAAAAGAATTTCATAATACTGGGTTTAAACCCAGCTGCATGCGTTTTCACAGCAGACCGTCTTCTGTTTTCAACAATAGCATCAAGGGCCCCGACCAAGTCAGTAAGCATTGGCAATCTACTGAAAGTCAAATTTGCCTAGAACAACCACAACAGCCAAAAGATGCTGGGGTTGGTTCTGCGTCCTGTAAAGGATACAAACTAGAATAAACAGATACATTATAAATACTACAACGCCCAGTGTTCATTTTGTTTCTGCATTTATTTTATGTTCATCATAAATCACGCTTAAAGACAAAGGTGGCATGGAATATGACAAGAAATAAGCACAATTTAGTTCTATATGAAACTTCTTTAAGAATACAAATATTTGACTGTACACAGATAACACTGACGTCATTACTGTTACAGTACTAGATTAGTGTGGTCAATTATGATCTCATGAAATTAAAAAATGGGGAAAACAAAAGTCACTATATTGTTATTTTCATTTCTTTGACTGCGCCATTCATGCAACACAAATGTCAAATGGCAACCATAACATAGTAAAAACATTATCTTTTTTTTTTTCTTTGCATTCATTGGCTATAAACTCTGGTGGTTAGTTTTGTCTTGTCTTCCTCCCCCCCCCCTCTCCTCCTCCTTCCACTTCGGACTGGTCTTGTTCCAGAACTTGAATTCTGCAAGAAAATTTGTTTTAACAGGCCTGGCTTGTTTGTTAGCAGACTGTCAGTGCCTCACCTCTCAGATAGACGGACTCCGACTGTGATGGAAACACCCCACCCAGTTGCCTCCAGTTTTTTTTTTTTAAATTGCCCCCCCCCCCCCCCCCCCCCCCCCTTCCCACCAATGGGGCCCTGGAATCCACATGGAGATTTAAAAAAAAAAAAAATATTTATTTGATTAGAATCATTTGCACAAGACATGGGCAAACAGTTCAACATAATTACTGTAGACATTAGACAATTTATGCAGATTTTGGTGCTTGTAACAAAGTCGGACCCAGAAAGAGAGTCACTCTCTTTGCCATTCATGCGTCGTCACGTTGCAGGGCCTGTCCTATGTTGCGGGGGTGTCTTGCTTTTAATGACCGGCCAGCAACAGGACATTTTTCTAGTTGCCGGGGATATTGAGTCTTCTATTTTCCACAATGTCAGCGCTTTTTACATTTAGTACTGGTCCTAACCAAACCCCCCCACCCACAGCCTCAGCCACATGAGAGAGTGCAGCCAACGCCCTATGACTGCATGCAGCCTATGGCACGAATAAAATATGTCCTTGCTAGGCGCTCACTAAGCGTGACACCCCTGCAACATAGGACAGGCCCTGCGAAACAAAAAGGCATGAATGGCAAGGAAAGTTGCTCTTTTTGTGGGCCCGACTTGGTTTCTTTAACCTGTATTTGCAGTATAATTATACCAGAAACTGAAACACATCATCAACAATTGACATGGACATTACAGTTTAGAAAACACAGTATGAAAATTATACAGAAGCTGATTTTAAAAAAATAAAGAATTACTGTCATGCACTCAAACACAACCAGATCACAGCAAACATCTTGTCCCATAATGCAAATATAAAAACTCAACAAACAACATTCACATAATCATACAATGTCAGATGTCAGTCTAGTGTGTGTCCAGATGAAAAAAAACAAGCAAACATAAAACCCAGAAGAAAAGCCAACAAAGATACAATTCAACATAGGATAGATAGGTGATAGTGCGAACAGTACTAGGAAGCATGTCATGTATGAAGTATGCTGTGTGACTTAACTCTTGCAGTACTAGTAACCTGTAGAGCAATTACTGATTTCTTTTTATACAAGCTTCACTAAAAAAAAAAAATCCATGTTCCACATGTAGTTGGTGTAAAAAAAAAAATTGTATCCAATTTTTTTATTGTTACACATTTTGTTCTGTTATCACTATTAATACTGTATCATGTTCGGAACTATACCTTTCCTAATGACAGGTAAAAAGGACCCTAAATGAGCCAGTCTCCAGTAGAAGAAGAGTATGGATGCTGGCTATACTTGTGACATGGTTTAGCTCCCCATTCTTGCCAGTGATTATTTCAGCCAATTCTATACTTAAACTCTACCTCCCATTTTATGAGATCTTTAAAAGGGATGTTAGTACATTGTGTTGTGGTTTACAACGAGGCAGCAACAATATGTGTGCCTTTTGGCCTAACACATTAGCTTTCAGTAAACCTCTAATCAATCATTGCATTTTATAACATGTGGGGGGGGGGGGGGGGAGGTCTTTTCTTGTTGCCATCAAAACTGGGGCCCCAAAAGACACATGAATTCTGAGGCAAAACCATTTGAATGGATGCAATATATTCCGTCTCCTGGAAATACTGAAGAAAACAAACGTATATAAATATAATCAAAACAAACACATTAAAAATGCTATTTAAGATAATTTATATATTTAAAAAAAAAAATGAATGACTGAAGCTGTAAAACATAATCAGAAATTATAACTCACAGGAGACTAACACCACATGAACTAAAACTGGGTTAAGTGTGATGGTTTGAATAAGACAAAAGGACAATGAAGGAATCTCAGTGAAATCATGGGTAATTAATTATCAGTTCCAAAATGTGGACCTCACTCAAAAGTAAATCACTAGTTAATCCCAATATTTTTCTACAACAGAAGTAAACAAACAGAACAAAGATAGTTAGCAAGACATTAGTAAACAGTTTAACTTAGGGAAATAAGACAATACAATCAAAAACTGCTACCAGCTGAATGAAAAAACCATAAGTTTAACTTAGGGAAATAAGACAGTACAATCACAAACTGCTACCAGCTGAATGAAAAAACCATAAGTTTAACTTAGGGAAATAAGACAATACAATCAAAAACTGCTACCAGCTGAATGAAAAAACCATAACAAATCTGGGTTAGTTCCACGTAGTGACCCCAGGGCCCGCCCATATACACACTAGCTCACTTCTGATTGGTAGTTTCTGAGCCGATTGACTTTCGCACACTGCTACTGGGGTGTTCTGCAATGCCGTTAATATCGCATGTATATTTAGCACGCCTCTCCTAGGTCGACCCAGCCTTGAGTGGGTACCGGATGCAGTCCCGGGAAAGTGAAGGCGGCCGGCGTGATACTGACCACATCACCCATCTTGTGCCGATTGGTCTATAAAATATAAGGTCTAGCCCTATATGCCCTATACGCCTTAAGGCGTGGAAAAGGGTCCTTTACTTTTTTTATTTTATTTAGCACGCCAGCGCTTTTAACGCTGCAAAAACATGGATAAACTGGGTCTAACACACAACCCCCTAGAGAATGCTGCAACCTATGTCACAGGCATTCTCTTTCTCTGAAGAAAAATGTAAATGCAAGACAAGCCAGAAAGCAAACAATAGAGCGGCACACCCGTAACCCCCTAGA